ATAGGTTGCTTGTGAATACAAGCACTTCCTATCACATTACAAAGAGGTAGTATCCAATATCAATATTTGACTGTAAGTTTCCGAAATTTCATTGAAGAAAAATGTCAGAAACTTTAGGCCAACCTTTATCCACCAGCATACTAATAAAAAATAATGCACTTTAATCTGCAAGCTCAGTAGCTAAGATGATATGTGTGTGTGTGTTTTGTCCAGCTAAAACTCTTCCCTGGTAGAATGCTCGAATATCAACCCAAGCATGCAATGCATTATAAGCTTGAGGACTTCATGACAGTTGTAGAATTCTCTGCTGAAAACCCGTATGGTAAAGCTATAGCTTTGTTTGACATGAAATCTGGTCTTGTTCAGGTACATTATCTTTCTCTCTCTCTCTGAAGTCTAATTTCTACAATTCTAGAAAATTTCAGATCCCTGAACTCTTATGATTCCTTTGTAAGGTTAGTGAAGACTGGTTTGTCTTGCCTGCTCTCCTGATATCATTTATACTTTCGGGCCTATTTAAGAAGGGTGGGCCAATTACAGTTACTCATTCGGAGAATCTCATAGATGTCACCAGTTTGGATGTGAAAGCCAGGGATGATTACACATCGGCCACAAATGTGGTAGCTATTGAATCTGCAAGCACATTAGCTCTAGATAAGAGCTTCAGTGACAATATGGGATGTGTGGACAAAGGTAATTCTGCCAATGCCGGGGCTTGTGGTGGCTGTGGTGCCGGTTGTGGTGGCGACTGTGGAACCATGGTAAAGAGCGGTGGCTGTGGCACTGGATGTGGTGGCAGCGGTTGCGGAGATGGATTCGCAAGTGCCAAACGTACTGGCTGCGACGATGGTGGTGGTTGTGGAGGCTGTGGTGGTGGTGGAGGTTGTGGAGGCTGTGGTGCAGCGATAAATTTTAATGGATCAAGGCAAGCCTCTAGTGAGGTAACTCCTGTTGGTGCTTAGCCATTTGTTATCGTGTATGCTTGTACGTAAATAAAGGTTCAGATTATTTAACTAATAACGGTGGCTATTACTATTTTGGTTGTCCACGGCAACCAGAACTAGTTCTAGCTTTGTTCAATACAAGCAAAAGCTTTGCGATCAATCTTGTTGATGAACACAGCAATTCTGTTGTGGTGGATGGTCTTACAGTTCTAGTAGAAGTTGTAATTCAATCAAAAAACTCAGCATCAATACGCAGTCATCATGTAACTATTTCTTCATTTGCCCTGTAATGCTGCTCCCTGCATATTTACTTTGAATGTGGATTTAGCAGTTTTTTTCTGGCACTTTTACATGCTTTGTTGAACTAGTGAAACTTTCTTTACGAACTAAGGGACCACGTTTGAAATAGACCCAAGTAAACAAAGTCAGTGCTTCTAGTTTTTTTTTTTAATGTCTTTATTTATTTAATTTTTGGATAAGGATGTTGGGAAATTTCTATATGTGGGCCAATATATTTTATACATATAAATAAAGAATTATACATTAGACGCTATCTAAAATTAAGCCAATTAAATTTGTGATCTATTTGAGTATTAAATTATTATTTGGCTTATGTGATATCTCAATTAATTTTGTATGGCATTAATTTGTGTAGA